CAACTCCTATTAAAGTACCAATGATATATTTCACAGACATAGAGCAAACATTTCAAAAATTTATATGGAACCATAAACGACCCCAAATCACTGCTGCAATTTTGAGAAAGAAGAGTGAAGTAGGAGGCATCACAATACCTGACACCAAACTGTGTTACAAGGCCACTGTAATGAAAACAGTCTGGTACTGGCATAAAAACAGGCACATGGACCAATGGTACAGAAAAGAGAGCCCAGAAATAAACCAAAGTCTTTATGGTCAATTAATATTTGACAAAGGTGGCAGCAACATAAAATGCAGTAATAATAGCCTCTTCAACAAATGGTGTTGGGAGAACTGGACAGCGACGTGTAAAAAAATGAAACTTGAGCACCAACTTACACCATGTAGAAAATTAAATTCAATGTGGATAAAAGACTTAAATATAAAACGTGACACCATTAAAGTCCTAGAAGAGAACGTAGGTAGGAAAATCTCAGATATTTCACGCAGAAACTTTTTTACTGACTTGTCCCCTAGAGCAAGGGACATAAAGGAAAGAATAAACAAATGGGATCTCATCAAAATCATAAGCTTCTGCACAGCTAAAGAAAACAGTATCGAAATAAAAAGAGAACCAACTGTATGGGAAAACATATTTGCCAATGATACCTCAGACGAGGTTTTAATCTCCAAAATATATAAAGAACTTACACGACTGTACTCTAAGAAGACAAGCAACCCAATTAAAAAATGGCCAAAGGAATTGAACAGACACTTCTCCAAGGAGGACATACAGAAAATCCAAAGATACATGAAACGATGTTCAATATCGCTATCTGTCAGAGAGATACAAATTAAAACCACAATGAGATACCACTTCACACCAGTCAGAATGGCCATGATAAACAAAGCAACAAACAAGTGTTGGAGAGGTTGTGGAGAAAAGGGTTCCCTAGTGCACTGTTGGTGGGAGTGCAGACTGGTACAACCACTATGGAAAGCAGGATGGAACGTCCTCAGAAAACTAAAAATGGATGTGCCTTTTGACCCAGCAATTCCACTGCTGGGACTCTATCCTAAGAACACTAAAACACCAATACAAAACAACCTTTGCATCCCAATGTTCATAGTAGCACAATTTAAAATAGCTAGATGCTGGAAGCAACCAAGATGCCCATCAGTAAATGAATGGATCAACAAACTATGGTACATTTACACAATGTAATTCTATGCAGCAGAAAGAAAGAAGGAGCTCCTACCCTTCACAACAGCTTGGATGGAGCTGGAAAAGATTATGCTAAGTGAAACAAGCCAGGCAGTGAAAGACAAAAACCATATGATCTCACCTTTAACAGGAACCTAAACAACAAAACAAAGAAATAAGCAAAATATAACCAAAGATACTGAAATAGAAGACAGGCTGACAGTGACCACAGGGGAGAGAAGAGGGAATTTCAGGGGACATTGGGAAGGGTTCACGGGAACAAACTTAAAGGACACATGGACAAATATTAGGGGGAGGGTGGTAATGGGAGGGAAGTGGGGAGGGGTGGTTGATTGGGAGTAAAAGGGAGAAAACTGTATTTGAACAATGATTAAAATAAAATTTAAGAAAATGTTCACACATATCAAGCTTCCATATAAGAATCAAAATCCCACATGGGAAATGTGGTCAGTAATATTGTAATAATTATGTATAGGGCAGGGTGGGTACTTGAAGTATCAAGGGGAACACACTATGGAGTATATGATTGTGTGGCCACTATGCTCTGAAACTACTAGAGAAAAATATTGAATGTAAAGTATAATTTAAAAATTTCAAAATAAAAATCCAAAATCTCTTATATAAAAAAAAAGACAGAAAGCTGTACTTGGAGAACTATTAAAATAAAATTAAAAGAACAACAAAAAAGAAAATAGAAATATTTTAAATTCCAGGACAGTTTGCTATTTTAAGGAGGGTGTTGTGAAAATGTCTTTAGAAAATCACTTAAGATTTTTTTAATTAAATCATAGAAAACTGGTAAATAATTTCACAAAACTTGGCTTATATATAGTTTTTAAATTATTTAAATAAATTAAATTTAAATTTTTAAACAATATACTAGGCCAACAATATTATTTTCTATAGTTAAGAATTGCCTCTTTTTTTTTTTCTGTGATGGATGCCTGAATCTGTCATTTTCCTCTCAAGCTTCTATTTTAGAGTTTGGCACCAAAATTATCTTGGTCCCCATATGTCTAGTGAGGAAGCACTGATATTTCTCTACTGTGAAGCTGATATAATACAATTCATTCTATTTCCTCTGCAAAGAATTTATTCCCAGATTTCTTACCTCACTCACTCCTCTCTTTCAGACTCCTTTCTACCCAAGTCATTTTATAATCCCCTAACATATTCACTCTTTCAGGTGCAGAGATTTCCCTTGCTTACTGCACTACCTTGCCCACAAACTTTCCGTGGCTCTCAAGTGTTTAGAGAATCAAATCAATCTCTTAAACTGACCTTGAGATCCCCTAAAGGTTGCTTTTTGGACCATCCTCCTTAGCTTGTGTTCTGTACATACTTGGTGACCCCTCCCTTAGGCCCCATGGGTCTACTAGTTTCTAGGTTGGCCACTTTATGCTCTACTTCTCCTCCTGCCTCCACTAGGGCAGATCACTAATCACCTGTCTATCAAGGCTTCTTCAGACTTTTCCATGTGGCTCTGACGCCTCTCAAGAGACAATAGTTCCCACTGCTGAATGAAAGCAAGTGTCTAAGGAACAGTTTTAAAGATTAAAAAAGGTACTTTAAATTCAGTTTTAACTCTGTGTAAATATAACTAAGCTCTGTGAACATTTATAAAACTTCTCAAGTCCTTCAGATGGTATTTTAAATTGAGAGTTGAGGCTCATTTATTACTTATCTTTATATCCACTTAAGATCAATCCAAGGTAGTCAGAAAATTATGAATGAGTGGTCTGCACTATAAATATGGTCAGATGCCATGGCGCACTTATTAATTTAAACTATTGTTTTAAATTGTGGCTTAGAAGAAAGCCTGGTGGAGAGAGAGAGAGAGCATTAAAATCTAATACCTCCTCTCTGACTTGATTTACTTTATGGAAAGCTTTGGTGTTTATATCTGGTACCCTCTGCTTCCCCTTCCTGCTTCTGAAGTTTGTTGGGACAATCAAAAGAGCAATAGTAGGTAAAAGTGCTTTGAAAATTACAAAACTCTATCTGGTCTGAAGATGAGATGACTGTGATATTTGGGGCTGAGAAGAATAAATTTCCTCAGACTTCACCTCAGTGTGTCCATTCACTCAAATTTGGTATTAGTCTCTTACAAAATAAATAACCCATTTAGCTATATTCCTTTCTCAGTGTTAGCATCTTCTGATTTAAATAGCAAATAGTTATCTTCAATGACAACACTGCCTTACTCAGGTATTATTGGTTTTGATGGGACCAGTGAGACAGTAGCTCAGGATTTGGCCAGAATCAGGAATGGTGACCACTTTTCTCCACCTGGGTAGACACAATATCTGGCCACTTCAGCTGATACTGAACCCATCCTGTGGCCTCATTGTGCCATACTTCATTTGTTTGACAGGAGAGGAGTTTGCAGGTTCTGGATTGCTGTGTTACCTACTGTTTTCACTGATTCTATAGAAGGACTTGTTTCTACTAGAGTTCCCTGGTATGAGGGAGGGGTAATATACAGGTGTGAACAAAAGTTGGTTTATAGTTGTTTGTATGGAAAAAACACAATAATTGATAAATGATAATACAAATATAAAGTCTGTGTTTCACATCCTCACAATTGTAGACCTGCTTTTGCCCACCCTGTATTTAAAAGTTAGAGCATGGGCTGTAGGTGTCAGACTGTTTTCATTCAATGTTGCTCAATAGTTTTCAAAGTACATGACTTTGGGCAAATCATGTAATATGTCTGGGTCTCAGTTTTCTCTTCTCTACAGAATGTAAGAAAATAACAATTTCTAATCTCAAAGTTGCAGTGAAAATGAAATTAGAAAATTCATGAGAAGCAATTAGCAGAATGCCCGACCCTCAAGAAAAAGTAACTATTCAGATTTATAAAGATTTGCTTGAACATGAGTTTCAGACTTCTCAGGAAGTAGTAGTTTGAGTGAAATGCATTGGAAGATGTTTTCATATGGGTTGCTGTTTCAACAAGAAAAACAGGGCTAAGATCCTCTTCACTTTTCTCTGCCTCCACTCTCCCAGCCCCCAGCTCCAATGCTTTGTCCTGTACCAGCCTATTGGCTGAGTTCACCTTTAACAATCAGTCCAATTGTTTTTGTTCTTTGAATCTGTGGGAATAATCATCCAAGTTGATAGTGCTTCCTTCACTTCTATTCTTTTGCCCCCAAACTCAGAGAACTTGGGGTGCTAGTTCCTGCTTCATAGGCATAAAACAGAAATCATTTTATTGGTCAACTACTATGGACATGGTGAGGTATGGGGGACAGTGAATTCATGTGAGTGAGTGCATCCAGAATGTGGGCATGTGAGTAGAGTGCTCAGCACTTGCTGGAAAGGGTGTAGAGATGAGTACTGCATGAGATGGAGACATTGACAGCTTTTAGTCTTTGTGTTGACAACAAAAAGCATCAAACATAACAACTTTGCAGTATTAGTATACAACCTACAGCCAAAGATGAAGATCATTATAATAGCTAATGTTTTCTAAGAACATAAGTGGCCCAAAGTCAGCCAAGACTGTCACATGAATTAGTTTTATCCTCCACATCCTATGGCAAAGTTCTATTTTTACCCCCATTTTACAGATGAAGAAACTGAGGAGGAGAGGAGTTAAATAATGGCTTCAGGGTCATTTATAAATAGTAGTACAGTCAAATTCAAACCCATTCAGGCCTATCCCAAAGTTTGAGATCTCATTATCTATATTATAATCAGCAAACTCAGTGTACTGATCTATATTGAGCTTTATGTTGTTCACACTTGGAGGAAGAAACAGTATCATAAATATTGGCCTTTGTTTTCTAGCTTCCATCATGATTCAGAAATGGTGGTGTCACATGAATCCTTGTTTGGAAGAAGAGGATTGTAAAGTGCTGCCAGATAACTCAGGTTGGTCCTGTAGCAGTGGCAATAAAGTCAAAACTACAAAGGCAAGTATAGACAAAACAACTGTAATGCACAACTTCAGCAACATTAACTATCAGTCCCCTTTTTGTTTTAGCCTGCCATCAAGAAGACAGCATTTTGTTATATTGGCAAACTGACATGAGCAGTACCACGTGATCTGTGACTTTGACCTTTCTGAAAAGTCGTTTTCCCAGTATCACTCTTTATGTTTTTATTGAGCAGTGATGTGGTGGGTGGACTCCTTATTTAGGCAGAGCCACTAGATTCATTTCAGGTCCTTCATGAGCCTGATTGAAAGTAAAGATTTACAAGAGTCAACAAGCCAGTGTATCAAAATAGCATGGCAAGAATCCTTGTACGGTGCTTTACTAAATTTGAAATACCCATGCCTATAAGAAGGTCCAATGTTGAAGACTATAATTCAGGTCTGACAAGTCAAAACTTTCTTCCCCAAATGGATCTCCTTACAGCTGTGTCTGTCTCTGAAAGGATACCACTGTCTGCCCAGGCCTTGAGCCAGAAATCTAACTTCTTTCTTATCTTCCCACATCCAGTCCACTATTATGTCCTTGGGATTGTCACTCACAAGTCCCTTCATCCCTCTGTACCGCTGTACTTACTACCCTGTCAAGTCCACCATAGAGTGCTGCCTCACATACATTCTTGCTCTCTTCCAGTCTGTCCTCCATCCAATGATTATGTTCATTTTTGCAAAATGTAGATCTTTTAATCTAGTCCACCCCTGAACTTTCTAATAGCTTCCCCATGGCTCTACAACCTAATAGCCCTGCCTGTCTAGCTCTCAATAAGTAAACTGGCAGGCTCCCTTCCCTCCATTCTTCCTGCTTCTGCTATTTCTGCTGCTTTTAGTGCCTCTCACTCTGTGTGGTGCATTTGCAGGTACAAGGTGTGCTCTTCACAGAATGTGCTTCCTGCCTTTTCTAGTTCACCATCATTTCTTCAAAGAATACTTTATCTCTGAGTATTTATGATAGTTATATTTTACATCAGTTGGTGTACAGTTGATCCTTGAACAAGTTGACCACCATCGTGCAGTCAAAAATTCACATATAACTTGACTCCCCCAAAATTTAAGTCATCCTTCATTATTTGTGTGGGATTGGCTCCAGGTCCCCTATGGGTAGCAAAATCTGTTGATGCTTAATTTCCCTATATAAAACAGTGTAAATAGATGCATACAGTTATCCCTCTGTATTTGTGGACTCCTACCTATGGTAGAAAGCAGTTAAGTAGTTATTGAAAGCAATCTGTATGTAAGTGGACTCACATAGTTCAAACTCATGTTGTTCAAGGGGCAGCTTGTATGTGTATGTGTAACACTTAGAGCTTTCTGTGTAGGGACAGTTGTGAAGTCAGAGCCCATGTCTTCTTTTGCTTGCCTTGGTAGTCCCAGTACTTGCTGAATGACTCTTTAACTATTTTTTGAGTGAAAACTAATAAAACAGGCTATGCTGGGATTATTAGAGTTAAACACACTGTAATGAAGTGGCTTTTTAGTTCTGGTTGCTGTCTGAGCTTTGGCTCTTTAAGAAATATAAGTCTTGAATGGCTACTTATCTTGCTTATGTTTTCCCTTTAAGAATATTTTGAGTTATGCCCTGGCTGGCGTAGCTCAGTGGAGTGAGCGCGGGCTGCGAACCAAAGTGTCGCAGGTTTGATTCCCAGTCAGGGTACATGCCCGGGTTGCAGGCCATGACCCCCAGCAACCGCACATTGATGCCTCTCTCTCTTCTTCTTTCTCCCTCCCTTTCCTCTCTAAAATAAATAAATAAACAAACAAACAAACAAATAAATAAATAAATCTTTAAAAACAAAAGAAGTTTTTTTAAAAAAAAGAATATTTTGAGTTACTAAACAAACTTATCATTCATTTCCAACCACTGAGGTCAAAAGCAGCTGAATTCTTCTAAATGTGTGCACAAGATATTGTAATAAATATGATTTTATAAAGTAAATACTTATATGTGCCATTAACATGACATTAAACCAAAACTATAAAAATAAAATAATGATTTTTAATAAATTTTAAAGGAAATGTAAGTTTTTGCTGACATTATATCCAGAATTTGTGATAGTATATTAAGTCAGATTAAGATGCTTACTACCTATTTAAAACATGTTTTCAAAATGAAGACTATTTTCAACATTAATTGCAATTATTAACTAATTTGTCCTTGTTAGTGATATCTAGGTGATTAATACAAATGGCCTGATATAAAATATTTTATATTATATCCAGGACAGTGGAATTTCATGGAGTCAATGTGGTGGAAGGAGGTTAACACTCCCATCATTTCTATGGCTCGTCCTCTAAGCCAATCCCAATTCACTTCCAATCTATGTAAACCCAGTGTGCTTGCTAAGTAAACCCTGCCTTAATACAATTCCACTGTCCTGTTTCCACTGGCCCCTTTCAGCCATTTCCCCTAAACCCTTCTTAAATAAAAATTTTGGTTAGTTACCAATGATCTAGGGTCTTACTGAAATCCATCATTGATAAAATTTCCTTCATTGTATTTCTTGTAGACTAAAAAATAACATTTTGGGAGCCCTGGCTGGCATAGCTCAGTGGATTGAGTGCGGGCTGCGAATCAAAGTGTTGCAGGTTCGATTCCCAGTAAAGGCACATGCCTGGGTTGCAGGCCACGGCCCCCAGCAACCGCACATGGATGTTTCTCTCCCTCTCTATTTCTCCCCCACTTCCCTCTCTAAAAATAAATAAATAAAATCTTAAAATAAATAAAAAAATAACATTTTGGAAGATTATATCTGTATTGATTTTTACAGATAAATATGAAACAAGACCATGAGGGCAAGCAAACTATGTTCCAGAAAAGAATGTGTCTAAGTAGCCTCTTGCTACAGCACTACCTCTCTATTTATGTGCAGTTAGAGAGGGCATTTGCAGGAAGCAAATCTTTAGGGGCATTTTGGTTCTGTGTTCTAGGGATATGAGTTTGCTCTAGCTAAATCCTCAATGGTAGTGACATTTCATTTGGCACTTCAGGAAGTTGTAGAAACATAATGCAGTTCCCTAAGCTATCATGATACTTAGCTGATTTTTTTTAGTGATACACCACCTGAGAATAATCTTGAAGTAATAAAACTCTGTTTCCTTTATTAATCCAAGTCAGTGTGACTTGTACTGCATAAAACATTTTCTGTCTTTTATGGATCTTATGCAGATACAAAAAATCCATTTGTGGAGCTGCAACTGGCTTCTGTGCAGAGCTTGGTACCCACAGAAACTATTTCTTTTTCTTAAAATCAATGCTGACCTTACGCTGCAGGTGAGACAGCAGACCTATAAAAGTAGAGCAATGGCCTCCCTAGAGGAGGGATATTAACTATATAACAAAATAGTTTCCATTTTCCTTAGACAGTTCACATACAACAGCATCAAAACATGGAAGGGCTAAAAAGTATGATTAGTAAGTCACCTATGTCAGAATTTTATTGTCCATTTAAATGCAAATATAAAAAGAGTTAGCAGTTAACTTGAGATTTTAGATGAGCCTTAAGATGAAGATATGAAAATGAGAGGGGACAATTCCCTAACCAGTCATCTTCTCTTTCCTGAGTATAAAAGGTTGGCATTGAGTTTATTCTACCTGTGTAGTTTTCCAGGCCTCCAGAGAGTGTACAGCAATTTCTTCTCATGGAAAAATATAACTTTCTGTCATCCTGCCTCCATTTTTATTTTCTCAGTTCTGAGTTTTACTGCATTCTCTGTGCAATATTAAGGTTCTTCACAAGTGCCCTATGTCCTCTTAGCACCAAAGCCAACCATTTGACAGAGCTTTTATTATTTGAAAATAGAAGTAAAATCCATATTGAATTTTAAGAACCTTTAGATTTGTTAATTTTGTGATTTTTACAATATCTACTAAGGGTGAAGAACTATATTTTTAGATCAGTAGTTCTCAACCAGGGGCATTGTGCTTTCCAGGGGATATTTGACAGTGTTTAGGAACATTTTCAGTTGTCACATTTTGGGAAAGAGGAGAATATGGCCTCCTGCTGCTGAACACCCTGCAATGCATAGGAGAGCCCAGACAAAGAGTTATCTGGCCTCCAATGTCAGTAGTACTGGGATTGGAAAATCCTGCTTTAGAGAAAATATATTTTTAGTAGCTCTTTGCAAGCATCCTACTTGATTCTCTTCACTTTGTTTTTCAAGGTTACCACTAAGTTTTTGAGTGTTTTCAATATTTTACACTGGACAACTAAAAGTAGGAATTAGGAATTTAAACAACAGGATCTTTCTTCAACCTTTCCATCAACCTCAAAATCTAAAATGACCAAATCCTTCTGGTTTGTCCTCAATGGACTTCTCTAAAGGATCCTTTTCTCTCTGTCTCCTGGGCTGCTGCCTTGGGCTACCCTCATTCTCTTTGCCACCATGTCATAATAATTTACTGGTATCAGTAGCTACAGAAAAATCATCATAGGAACCTGTTAAAAATGCACTGTTTTGAGCCCCACCTCTAGGGTTTTCTGGTATAGTAAGCCTGGGATGGGGCTTAGAAAATCTCCCTTTCACAAAGTTGTTAGGGTGATTCTGATGGACAAGCTGTATATGGGAAACACTGGTTCCTCTGGCCTCCCCAACTGCTCATTGTTTTCACCTTTATTTGACTTATATTCTGCCTTCTGTGCCAGCAGAGTCACCTTTCTGCTCAGGTTCTTCCTTGATGAGAGACCATTAATGGATCCCCATTGGTAACGGGTAGAAAATACAGTGTAAGCATTTTGGGATGGGCCTTCATTGCCACTCACCCAATAGGTTATGTGTTTCCATGCCCCATTGCTTTCTTCTTCATCTCCTGTCTCTTCTCAAATTCCACTTATATTTCCAGGTCCAGCTGAGATTGCTTTCCCCTGAAGTCTTGCCTTCCCTTATTCCCACAGCCAGAGCATAAAATACTCAGGGTACCCTGACATGTGAGTGTAGAGCTGATATCAGCATATTAGCAATCTTTATCTACCAAGATTCCAAAAT